TGTTTGTTTGTTTGTTTTTAAAAGTCCTTGTGAAAAGTCACCAACATTTTTGTGTGAATTCCTTCTAACACATATTTGCATGCCGTATCCCCTAATATACACATTTTTTTTACAAATAATTTCCCATAACACAACACATTTTTGGCATGTTATTTTCACTAATATGTGCTCTTTTTTTATTCATGCCTTACCCTCCTGTGAGCATTTTTATATGTATTACTTAGCTGGAGAACTGTATTACAAAATTCATAGAAGTGCAAATTTCAAATGATAACTGTGTTCTGGTTCATTTACTGTTTCAGAACGTTCAAATTAGTTATGTTTGCCTAATTGTCTTTCAATGCAAACTGAATCTAATTTCTTCCCCATCCCTACCAACGTGCTTCACAGTTCAACATCCATGTAATACAATGCTGATTTTTGTTTTCAGCGCTAGCAAGATTAGATCTAATATCATCTTCAGGAAAAGCAGTCAATTTTGATGCAATCACATTCCTTTCCAACTGGGGAGTGTTGGCTGAGATCCGAAGGCCTCTGAGCCAGCTATAACAATGCAGGTGAGCAGTGGCTCTAGCCTCCCTCTCAAGGAACTGATGCCTCCTTCTTAATTCCCTGCACAGTGCCTGGTGGGAGAAAAGGGAACAGAGCACGTTCTTTATTTAGCTGGAGCTTCCTGTTTCCGATTCACATTTTTCCAAAGAACGGGCAGCTTAAGCGGGATTTTTCTTCTTCGGTGTGTGTTTTGTTTTGTTATAGTTGTTCTGGGAAAAACCAGGCAGGATCTGCATTGTCAGAGCTTTGATGTCTTTCCTCTAGGCCGTTTCCTGTTCACTTGAGCACAGGTTAAAAATATGCATCTGCTGACATCATCACTGCCAACCTCCTCCTGCCTGATTTGAGCCACGCAAGTCCCCGAGCTGTTGCATTTCTGGATATGATTATGGGGAAAGTCTCAGTAGCCATTCCTGTGAACAGCTGAGTCCTCAGCTGCAAGAAATGTTGAGAAGCAGACAAGTTGTTCACAAGGAATAGGAGAAAATGGACCATCATCTTATTATTGCAGGCCATTTCTTTTACATCACCCAGTACCATTTCTATCACTAACGCCCTCCCCAGACCATTTGGGACAGATGAATCTGTCAGTGTCAATTGCTTATATTCCCTACCAAAACTCAGCTCATCAGATTTCCACAGCAGTCAATGATTATTATTTTTCAGTCCTCATAAAAATTCACCAACATTTTTACTGTGCATTTTAAAACATTTTAATAGACTTTTTTTTAACAAATCCACATATTTTTGCAAGCAGCTTTTATCTAATACAAGGCCTTCCTAATAGTATTTTCAGTAATAAATGCATTTCTGTGCACACTTTTCCATACTAAAACACTTTTATACTCAGCTTTGGTTGGAGAACTGAATCTCATAATTTGAATAAGAGTGAATTTCAAAGGATGGCTGTGTTTTGGTTCACTTTTTTTTTTTTTGGAAAGTGTCAATCAGATAGTTCTATACCAAATGTGAATCAGACCTAATTCATTCCCCCTCCCTGCCCATCACCACTGCCCTCAGACCACGGTCCTGCTACAAACTGAACACAGAAGTAGGCGATTCTATGCATGCTTATCTGGGAGCAGGGATGTAGTTTGCCATATGTTTTCATCCCAGGTGCTATCCAATGGACCATTTATATTTCCCAGTCTGCAAAGCCATATCTTTACTGTTCCACTGAGTTACAGTAGCAGAAACTAATGTTATTGCTTATGCCTAGCCTAACAGAAGTTTAACAGTCTCTCTCATATGCCCCGCGGAGGACCTTAAGGTCCACAAATGACAACATTTTGGAGGTCCCAGGTCGCAAGGTGGTTAGATTGGTCTCAACTAGGGCCAGGTTAGATTGGTCTCAACTAGGGCCAGGGCCTTTTGGAACACTCTGTCACAAAAGACTAGGGCCCTGCAGGACTTGACATCTTTCTGCAGGGCCTGCAAGATAGAGCTGTTCCGCCTGGCCTTTGGTTTGGACTCAGTCTGACCCGGGACGCGGGTTGCGCTGTGGGTAAAACCTCAGCGCCTAGGACTTGCCGATCGCATGGTCGGCGGTTCGAATCCCCGTGGCAGGATGCGCTTCCCGTCGTTCGGTCCCAGCGCCTGCCAACCTAGCAGTTCGAAAGCACCCCCAGGTGCAAGTAGATAAATAGGGACCGCTTTATAGCAGGAAGGTAAACGGCGTTCCATGTGCTGCGCTGGCTCGCCAGATGCAGCTTATCATGCTGGCCACGTGACCCGGAAGTGTCTGCAGACAGCGCTGGCTCCCGGCCTATAGAGTGAGATGAGCGCACAACCCTAGAGTCTGTCAAGACTGGCCCGTATGGGCAGGGGTACCTTTACCTTTACTTTTACAGTCTGACCCTTATGTTTCCCTCCTCTTATGGTCTTGATTTATTGGCTATTTTAAAATGAGGCTGTATTTTAAATTGCATTTTAACCTGTATTTTATATTGGTTTTTTCCCCCTTCTTCTTTTTCCCCTATTATGTTTTTACTGTGATTTTATTGGTGTTGTTAGCTGCCCTGAGCCCAGCTCTGGCTGGGGAGGGCAGGGTATAAATAAAATTTATTATTATTATTATTACACAGGAATCTAATGTACCGTATTTTTCTGTGTTTTTTCTTTAAAAATTAGCTTTAAAATTTCCCCTCATCTTATGCATGGGTAGTGCAGGGTGGGGGGAACGGGGTTGGGTGATTTGTTGCATCTGCGAGCAGGAGATTTTCTGCGGCGACAGGGCGGGTGATTGGTGGCTGTGTGAAGGGCTGTTTGCGATTGGCTGTCTCTGTATCAATAGCGCAGATGATTGGCTTCTGCAGTTCAGTTGTGGGTGAGCGATTTTTGGCAATCCCGCCTAAAAAAACCCCTGGGCAATCCTCTGCAAAAAAGGTCAACAACTCTGTGCCATCTCCCCCTATTTTCTTAAATCGGAGTCCCCCAAAATAGGGGGCATCTTATACATGGGGGGCATCCTATAGACGGAAAACTACGGTACCTTCCATACTGCTGAAGTCATCTCCATATGTTTCTTGATTGTTTATTTTCACAAATTAATCAAGTTGTCATCTGCCCACAGGGTTATTGTCTGTGACATGAATGATTGAAGTTTAACATGTTTGGGTCCCTGTCCCCCTGCAATCACTGTCATCTTCACTATTATCACTATGAAATGATGGGGCTTCCTGAACTAAACAGGATTGTTTTTAAGTGTTTTGAGATGACTGAACGCAACGGCCAACCTCATAAGGTTGTGGTGTCCCTGAAAAGGGGACACATGGAAAGTTTACTCTGATTCCAACTTGATTATTATCAGCAGCAGTGCCCTGCTGAACTGTTCTGTTGTGTTTTCATGATTTCCCTAAACATATTGTTCAGTGTTTGGATTGCAATCCATGCACTCTGTTCTTCTGACCTGACTCTTAAGAGCATAAAAACATAAGAAACATAAGGCGAGCTGGATAAGGCCAATGGTCCACCTATTCTGTCCAGCATTCTGTTTACACAGTGGATGTCCAGATGTCCGTGGGATGAACCGCAAGCAGGAGCTGGACTCAAGAGTACTCTCCCCTTCTGCACTTCCCAGCAACTGGAATTTAGAAGCATTACTGACACCATCTGTGGAAGCAGAGCAATAGTCACTGATAGCCTTGTCCTCAGTCTTATCTTTATTGCTCAGTCCTCTTCTAAAGCCATCTCTTGGTCCACATCCTCTTAGCATGTGAACAAGATCTCCATGTATCTGACTGTGAGTGAAACATTCACTACTCCTCAAGCATCCAGCAGCCACCACACATCCTTCACAACTCTGTGAGTTATTATGGCACACCTTCGGGGGGTTTTAACCATCCCAAGGCCACAAGTTGTGCTTCATGGTTGAATGTGCATTTATCAAAGGACATAAGCCAAGGTAAAGGGACCCCTGACCATTAGGTCCAGGCGTGACTGACTCTGGGGTTGCGGCACTCATCTCGCTTTATTGGCTGAGGGAGCCAGCATACAGCTTCCAGGTCATGTGGCCAGCATGACTAAGCTGCTTCTGGCGAACCAGAACAGCGCACGGAAACACCGTTTACCTTCTCACCAGAGCGGTACCTATTTATCCACTTGCACTTTGACGTGCTTTCGAACTGCTAGGTTGGCAAGAGCAAGGACCAAGCAATGGGAGCTCACCCCGTTACAGGGATTCGAACCACCAACCTACTGATCGGCAAGTCCTAGGCTCTGTGGTTTAACCCACAGCACCACCCGCATCCCTCATCAAAGGACATAGCCTTTGTTAAAAACTGATTATTGCTGCAAAGCATACCTTGATTTGGACTTTGTTAAATAATGGAATATATAATTATCCATAATAGGGGCTCCCAATCTGTGGTCTGTGGACCATCAGCGGTCCACAAGTTTCATCCAGGTGGTCCGTGGTGTGTCTGCATTTAATATTCATATTGGGTTAAAAAAATAGAATTCAATTGCAATGTAAATAAGAACTTAAATGATCAAAGATGACGAGTGGTGGTGGAGGAGAGTCAAATGGGTGTGGTACTTCATCCTTTTTCATTTCTTACCCTTTCCTTTTACTCTCTTTGATTTTTGGAGTAAAGTGTTTTTAATTTATTGTTTGTTTGTCTGTCTGTCTGTTTGTTTGTCTGTCTGTCTGTCTCTTTGTTTGCCTGTCTGTCTGTTTGTAAATATGCTTAAATAAAACATTAAATAAAAAAATAGAATTCAAATTGTAATATAATAAGATACAATGCATGGAATAAAAGAAGCAATGACAATACAATTAAATTAATGCAGCACCTAGTACAGTACATTACAATGGCTACTACAGGCCAAAAAATCATTGAGTGGTCTGCAAAGACTCACAGTAATTTTCATTTGGTGGTGGTGGGAGTTTGGGAATCACTGAGCTATAAGATAATTATCCCTCAAAATCTTTTAAAAATGTATTTTTTCTTGAGAAGTAAACATTAATGAAGTGTGGTGTGGGCCAAGAGAATAAAATACAATTCAACCTGTAATTGTATGTAGGCTTACCTGGGAGTAAGCCCAAATGAAAACAATCCATATTACTTTTGAGTACAAATGTACAGGATTGCACTGTTACCCATCCTGGCAGAATAGTAATGCCTGTGACTACAAACCAGAATGATAAGAAAAAATAATCTGTTGGTAGTGGATCTGCTGCCATGAATGAAATGTTGCTTGCCTTCACCTCTGTTCTTTTTGTAAACCAGCAAATATTTCAAAACACTATAACTCTCCAGTGCTCTCCTGAAAAAGAAACCAAATTCGAAGTACTGTTGTCCCTGGAAACTGCCGCCATTCAGGGAATGGTGAGTAGGAAACAATATATGTAGGCCAAGTTCAAAATCAATTAGTCTAAAACGAGTAACAAGAAAAACCAGGAATGTGTAAGGTTTAATGTAGTTCTGTTCTGCAGTTTTGGTTGACAGCGGAAGAAGGAACACTGGTGGTAGAAGATAGATCAAGATATACAGTATTTCTGGGTGATCTGCAGAATAGAAGCACCAGGGAGTTATGGGAAAGTAAAACTGCAAGTTAAATAATAATAATAACCAGGGATTATTATTTTTTTCAGCCAGAACTCACCAGGACTCAGTTCTGGCACTTCTCAGGTTCCATTGCCAATCTAAGAGAACAAGTTAATGGAGAGTTCCAGAACCTCTTTTTTTTTTTCTTATAGAAAAATAGCACTGATAATAACATATCTCATTCTTAACCTGCAAAACATCCATATTGCTTGTGCCGAAAGTTCCTTTTTTATTTTTATATATTGTCTCTAACAGTAAACAATTTAATAGCGGAACCAGCCTAACCTAAGGATGTGTGAGAAAGGGAAGATGTCTTATTTCAGGCAAAGGGAGGGAAAGGAAATATATGAATATAGAACAGGAATGCAGATAACCATTTTTTAAAAATAAAAAAACAATAAATGCTCAGTGATGCAGATTTGAAATAAGGAAATCTAAAATATAAAGAAACATTCAAACACATTGTGATGCATAGCGTTTCCTGTTTTTGTTACCCCCCACAATTAGCTGTTAGACCAAGTTGGCAGTCCTTGAATTTCAGATTACTTAAGGATGCCAAGGTAGCATCATCATCCAAAGAATTGTTATGAATGTACTGGGGTTAGACTCCCCTAAACCCAATAAATTAATGAATGTCAGAATCTAGATAATATTTGGGATACTGATGCAGAATAGAATGTCCTGACCCTCATCCGAGGAATTTTGGAGGGTACGTCACTGAGTTGTCACCATGGTATATTAAAGCTGTTCTACTGTAGTGGCTATTTTATGTTGGGCAGATGGAGATGTATCTATATTCTTATATGAAGTTTGCTTAACAATAAACAGCCATTATTTCATTTTGGGGTGGGTGTGGGGGGAAGGTAGGGTATAGAAGCTTTAAAATAAATGCATCTTTTGCTTAAGGATATATTAAAAAAACACACACAAAAACCCACCTGCAATCTCCTTGTTCATGTTGCTATTTTCACACACTGCTTGGATAGGATATGTGAATAGGTGGCAGCAGCAAGGATAACTCAATTGGTAGACGTGACACTTAATCAGAGTTGTAAGTTCAAGCCCCACGTTGGGCAAAAAGATTGCTGCATTGCTGGGGTTTAGACTAGATAACCCTCGTGGTCCCTTCCAATTCCACAATTCTATTATTGTAAGGAGGGGAGGAACAGGATATCAACAGTAGGAACCTTTGCTTGCGTATGTAGGGTTGCCACATGTCCTCCTTTTTCAGGAGTAAAATTTCTGCCTAGGTAGATTTTTCAAATTTGCCAAAATGTCTCTGGCTATACTTTCTGGATGAGACATAGACATAACTGATGGTTGAAGACTTGTTTTCCTCTTCTCTTCTCTTCTCCTGACCCCCTCAGCAATATATCACAGCTTCTATAGTGTGGGATACAAAGCTGTCAGTCAAGTCCAACATTCCGAGAGGACTAACTGCCTCTAGGTGGCAGGCAGTTTTGTCAGTTGATCGGTTGGTTGGTTGGTCAGTCGGTCATTGCTGCAAGGACTATTAACTGGTAACTGCTCGGATGCAGTCTTCTCATGACTTACTTCTATCTAATATATAGTTTGTCTGTTATGTAACCTAAGCTTGCCTTCAGGAACAACTGTGTAAACCTGAATGAATCTGATAGCAAAGTAGTTTATGTTAATATGATTCAGATTCATGTGTGTTTTCTTTAAGAGGGACAGAAAGGGATTATCAACCAGGAAGGTATAATTATTGATAGGACTCAAATGACTTAGCAACCCGCTTGTCACTGCATAAACTCAAACAGGGGATCATTTAAACTCTGCTAAATTATATAAACGTTCCCACATATAGCCTACATATAGTAAAGGTAAAGGTAAAGGGACCCCTGGCCATTAGGTCCAGTCATGGCCAACTCTGGGGTTGCGGCTCTCATCTCACTTTATTGGCCGAGGGAGCCAGCGTACAGCTTCTGGGGCATGTGGCCAGCATGACTAAGCCGCTTCTGGTGAACCAGAGCAGCGCACGGAAACACCGTTTACCTTTCCGCCAGAGCAGTACCTATTTATCTACTTGCACTTTGACATGCTTTCGAACTGCTAGGTTTGCAGGAGCTGGGACTGAGCAACGGGAGCTCACCCCGTTGCAGGGATTCGAACCGCCAACCTTCTGATCGGCAAGTCCTAGGCTCTGTAGAGGTATTTAAAATGAGAGTCGTCGTAGTGTCCTCTTTTGTGCTCTTCAAAATATGGCAACCCTATGGGCATGGGCCTTGGCAGCTGTTGTCCTACAATGCTAACCTCTAATGCCAGCTTTGAGAGGAGAGATTGTGAGCGGTTTCTGGGAATGTGCTTATTCTCAATGTGTGGAGGCAGGGTGACTGTGCAGTGTGACGTCCTGGAATTCCCACTGTTGCATCATGCTGATAGGTGCTTTCCCTACAGGGGAAAGTAGTGTGCAATGTTGGGTTTGGCGAGTAGGGGTAGAGTTTCTAAGGATGGGTTGACAGAGGGGTTGCGTATGCTAGCTTTTGCACCTAAGTTATGTGCAGTTGACTGCGCTGTTGGGTGAGCCTGGGACCATGATGACATTGGCCAACTTTGATGCCATTGCGGTAGCCACATAGCACTGCAATGCCATAGAACAGGCATAGGCAAACTCGGCCCTCCAGATGTTTTGGGACTACAACTCCCATCATCCTTAGCTAACAGGACCAGTGGTCAGGGATGATGGGAACTGTAGTCTCAAAACATCTGGAGGGCCAAGTTTGCCTATGCTTGCCATAGAATTTCCATACAGTAAAAAAAAAGGTGAAAGACTCCTGGAAGGTAAAGCCCAGTTAAAGGCGACTATGGGGTTGCAACGCTCATCTCCGCTTTCAGGCTGAGGAAGCCAGCGTTTGTCCACAGACAGCTTTCCAGGTCATGTGGCCAGCATGACTAAACCGCTCCTGGTGCACAGAGGACAGTGATGGAAACCAGAGTGCACGGAAATGCCGTTTACCTTCCTGCTACAGTGGTACCTATTTATCTACTCACGCTAGTATGCTTTCAAGCTGCTAGGTTGGCAGGAGGTGGGACAAAGCAACAGGAGCTCACCTCCTCATGGGGATTCAAACTGTCAACCTTATGATTGGTAAGCCCAAGAGACTCGGCGGTTTAGACCACAGCGCTACCCACATGCCATATGCAATGCCATAGAATTGCCATACCCAACAGGTGCAAACAATAGGCCCCTTTCTTGCCTGTCTCTTTGTGTGTGTGCACATGCATGCACATGCATAAGTTTGAATGGATACGTGTCTAGATATATTGGGATTTAAGCTGAACTGAATTTCTTCCTCAAGGCTTCTCAAGCCACAATAAGTACTGTATTGTATAACAAGTGGCAGTGAAGGCACTCCCTCTTGTGGCCTAAGAGGGAAATGGGATTTGAGAGCCCAGTCATTCATGGGGTTTGGGGCAGCAACTACCTGACAGGAGATCCTACTGAGGTTATTATATTGAATTGTTGCAATATCATATCAGCCAATTGTTGCAGTATCATATCAGCCAACAATGCACCATGTACTTGATTGTATTTGGTGTCTTTGGTTGTTATTTACCAAGAGTTAATTTGAATATGGGAATATGGAAATGGAATGATATTGGGTAACTAATATGTATGACCAAGTTTTTGAGTATTGAGTGTTACCAGTCCCTGTTTATATAAGATGTACAGATTAACTAAATTGTTCCCCTTGGTTACAAATTTCGATAGAAAGTACGTATAATTTACATGTATACATACATTTAACAATAAAAAAGTTTGTGTGTGTGTGTGTGTGTGTGTGTGTGTGTGTGTAAATGCAACTGTAGAGACTATCCCACCCCCATTCAGATTGGCTTTGGGAGAGATGACTCATCCTTTCCTTCTACTGTCCCCACTTTGATCAGAATATCTCTGCTCCATCTCCGGCTCCTTTATTTACCCCCCAGGACAAAACAAACAGGTATTATATGGGCAAGGGAGAAAGCAGCCTAGAGCTTTCTTCAGGGCAGGAGCAACAGCGTCACAAACCAAGGACCCAGAGAAATTGAGTCCTCTTTGCTCCGGCAAGTGAACAATAACAAGGCTTTCAATGTTGGGACAAATAAAGATGAAGAAGGTTAAAGAATGAGAAAAGCAATCAAGCAGATGCTAGATAGCTTTTTATTTTGCTTGATGATGTTCTGTACCCACATCTGAAATAGTAACTCTTATTTCCAAGGTTTTCCCCCTGCCCCTTTCTTTTCATTTTTATCAAAAGCTAAAGGTTTCGCTTGAAAGATCTTTCATTAAAGGTCAACGGTTGCGCAACTCGAACATATTTCAATAGAGCTTACAAGCCACTCCAAGGAAACTATGCACAGGACCGCTGTCATGTTGATACTAATAAATTGGGTATTATGGTATGTACCGCTGTCATTTGGCTTGTGTCCTCATGTCCTTATGTGTAGTTATAAATATATTGATGACATTTAGAGATTTGAGAAAGCAGCAGCTGTACACAGAATGCCTCTTGCATGTAAACATGCTGAGAAAGTTAATTAAAGGAAATATATTGCTCATAGGAAAGTTCCAAGTTCTGTCCAACTTGCTCTTTGTTGTCAGCAGGATGGGCATACAAAGATGGCAGCTCTTCCAAGGTGAGGATGAAGAAGAAAAAGAAGGGGAGGAGTAGGCAATGAAGTCAGCATCCCTGAGAGTCTTAGTCTAGCACCTAAGGCAGTGGTTCTCAAAGGGTGTGCTGCACCACATTGGTGTGGTAGGAGAGGATGGGAAGTGTGGCAGAGGTCCCATTATCACATTAGAACATGTTCTATGTTCTATGTTCTAAATCAAGCACCAATGTCTTCCAATGAATTTTTTTTTATAAAAAAAAAATCAGCTTGACACAAGCAAATTTTTATTCTTGAAAGCGTGGCCCTGAGAAAAAAGATGGAGAACCTCTGACCTAAGGGAAGGTCAGCACAGGTTAAAGGACAGTATAGTAAATTTGGAATGTATAATTTGTTGTTGGAGTGGCATACAAAGGATGAACAAGTTAAATCGGTTATGATTGATTGGGCAAGAGATGTGGGACATAATATAATGATGGGGGATTGGGAGAGGCTATGGAAGAAAGGGGTTAAGTTCACTGCATGTTCACTGCATTAAAGGAAAATATTATGAAGATTATATATAGATGGTACTTAACTCCTGTTAAACTAGCAAAGATTTATCACAATAGTGATAACCTTTGTTGGAAATGTAAAGAAAAAGAAGGTAATTTTTTCCATATGTGGTGGACTTGTCCCAAGGTGAAAGACTTCTGGGAGAAGATTTATAATGAACTGAAAAAAATGTTGAAATATACATTTATTAAGAAACCAGAGGCCTTTCTTCTTGGAGTAACAGGTTTGGAGTTGCCCGAGAAAGATGTTAAATTATTTTTGTATGCCACAACGGCCGCCCGAATATTACTTGCTAAAAATTGGAAAACACAAGAACTACCAACAGTGGAAGATTGGCAGATGAAGATGATGGACTTTTTGGAGCTAGCTGACCTGACTGAAAGAATCTGTGACCAGAAAGAAGAGGAGTTTCACGGGGACTAGAGGAAATTTAAGGACTATTTGAACAAATATTGTAATATAAAAAATTAGAAAGTACTTGAAAGAAACAAATAGGCCTGGGATTAAACTAAGCTATAATTAAATAAATGGGATTTAGACTATTAAGAAATGTGAATAAGATGGACTATAATTGGAAATTGTTTTAGTTTAATAATGATATTGGAAAGCTGTTACCTTCAACTACAAGAAAACTCAGAAGGGAGGGACTAGAGGAAGTCAACCAAGATGTTTAAAAGGTTGGATTTGTAAAGAATTAAGTTTGTTGTTATTGTTTATCTGTTTATTGTTCCTTTTTTTCTTTTTCTTTTTTTCTTTTTCCTTTTTCCTTTTTTTGTTCATTGATGTATTTTCTCTCCCTCCCCCCCCCCTGTTTTTGTGTATCATTCTGCTTTGTGGTTTTTGTTATCACTGTGGAAAATGTAATAATTTTTTTTAAAAAAGTATAGTAAATTTGGAGGTTCCTCTCACCATCTCCTTTCTCCCTATGCAGACCTACCCTCCTCTAGACAAGCTGAGTTGTATCCCAGCATGTTAAACACATACCTCAACACAGCTGCCTGCATTTTTTGACTTTCCTTCAGCTGTGGGGACTTCAGAATTTACCACAGTGCCCCCCAACCACCACTCAGAAAGGAGAATACTGCTGATCTGCAGCATACAATGAACCTATGAAACACTTTAAAACCTCTACTGGTCACTTATGTATCTATTTTATTATGTCCTTCCCGGTGGAAGCTTTAGCGGCTGAGGGTTCTTCAAGATGTGCAAAATTCACACAAAAAAATTGTTGCTATCTTGCCCTTCCAGTGCAACTATCCCATCACTTTTCTAGCTACAAATAGTCCAATAAGAAAGGGATGGAAAATTGCACTGCGAAGTGCGGGATAACAACCCCTAGCTGGCACAAACATATCAGGATCAATGTTCAGTATACAGGCAACATTGTAAGACCTCTGCACAAGTTTTGTGTGAACCTATCAGCATGAATCCTCAGCAAAACACTGGTTTGGAAGCTCCCCGAGCCTTGGGATACATGTGGGGTCAAACCTAGATCAAATGGCACTGCAGCGCCATTGGTACTCCCCCTCCAAGCATATTGGACATTTATTGGGGTGGCAGGGACCACTGAGACTGAAGGGGGTTGCCCCCTTACTACTAATTTCATGGCATTGGGACATCACTTATCTTTTTTTTTATATATAAGATATTTATTAAGGTTTTTTGAAATATTACAGTGAAAATGAAAAAAGAAAAGAGAAAAATACAAAATAAAAACAGTTAAAAACACACATATTTTCTATTACTTATTTTCCTTTAGCTTGTTTCCCGGACCTCCTCGTACCTCCCTTTTTTTGTACTCCACTTCAATTTATTGGTTCAGCAAATCCTTACCATTAGATTTTAACCCATTTATAACCCTTTTTTCATATTCTCTTAGAGCATTACAGCTGGAAACCGCTTAATTACTATCCAACATCATTCTATCATTAATTTTACAATATTTCTGTAAATAGTCTTTAAATTTCTTCCAATCTTCTTCCACCAACTCTTCTCCCTGGTCTCGGATTCTGCCAGTCATTTCTGCCAATTCCATATAGTCCATCATCTTCATCTGCCATTCTTCCAAAGTGGGTAGATCTTGTGTCTTCCAATACTTTGCAATGAGTATTCTTGCTGCGGGACATCACTTATCCCTCTTGCATAAGACATTTGCGCACACAGAACTGATCACAGTCCCTTGCACCATTTGTGTACCATTTGTTAAAAACAGACACCAATGTTCGGCATTTTCCTGTGAATATTAAATACAAGTATAGTAACACAGAGTTAACCATGCAAGTCAGCACTGCCCACTTTACAAGTGAAAATAATTTGCTTGTTTCAGCTGTTGAGTAACCAAAGGAGCCCCTTTAACGTTGGGTTCTCCCAGCACCCAGGCAGTCCTATGGGTGGGGAGAGGAAAACTCATACATGACTATGTAACAAGTGTCTAAAAGCAGTTTATATATTTTATTTCAAGTTATTTAATGTTATTATTATTATTATTATTATTATTATTAATAATAATAATATAATTTTATTTGTACCCCACCCATCTGACTGGGTTGCCCCAGGCACTCTGGGCTGCTTCCAACATATATAAAATCAATAAAATATTAACAATTATAAAACTTCCCTATACAGGATTTCCTTCAGATGTCTTCTAAAGGTTGTATAGTTACTTATTTCCTTGACCTTTGATGGGACAGCATACCACAGGGAGGGTGCCACTACTGAAAAGTGAGGTCACAGTGAGCCCTCTGCCTGGTTCCCTGTAACCTCATTTCTCGAAGGGATACAGGGCCAAGGCCATTTAGGGCTTTAAAGGTCAACACCAACACTTTGAATTGTGCTCAGAAGTGTACTGGGAGCCAATGTAAGTCTTTCAGGACTGGTGTCATATGGTCCCAGAGGCACCAATCTGTTGCTTCAGTTTGCTGTATGGCAGGACCAGCTCAGCTGCAGGAGCTGAAGGTGGGGAAAGGTCACAGATCAGTGGCAAAGAAACTGTTTTGAATGCAGACGGTCTCAGGTTCATTCCCCAACATCTCCAGTTAGGATTGGGAATGTCCTCAGCCTGAAACCCTGGAGAGCCTCAGCTAGTCCCTGAGGGTAGTACTCAACTATGATTGACTGATGGTCTAACTCAGTATAAGGGCTCATCCATACTTTTGCTTGACCTGCATTTCAATCATATTATGTACCAATTAATTCCCCTGGGTCCAACAGACTTTCTCGTTTTGCAGTTGTGCATTGTGAAAATCTTATCTTACAGGCTGAATCAGATGAACAGAAAATCCAAAGAGATTTTCTTACAGTTTCTGCAGCAGGTAAGATTGTTGTTTCGTTTTGTGTTTTTCGCAAGTCACAGTCCTGGAACAAGAAGAAAAGACCTTGGTCATGGGGGAATTAATCAGTACAAAATACAATCAAAATACAGGTTGAGTGAAAGCGTAGACGTTTCTATGTGGGGAACAGCTTAGCTTCAAACTCCTTTGCACAATTGGATGCAAAGAAAAATGAAACCAGCAGAGGGCATCTAAGTCCAGCAGAAAAGGCAAGCAGCTGCTGTGTGTGCAAAACCAGTAGATCCCACTCCTAATGCAATTTGACTGACCCTTCCAGTAGCATACGTAATGACTGATTTGAATGGTGATTAATGCCTGTGCAGGTAGTGATTAGAATGTCAGAAAGGGACTTCAGCTGTGGCTACATGGTTAGGGAGCCAATCCATGAAGTTTGTGGTGTGGGTCCTAGCCCTGGGAAGCACCCCTCCCATTCTTTGAGAGGAAAAGTGCAGCTCAGTGGTGGAACACATGCTTTGCATACAGAATATCCTAGGTTTGATCCCTAGGGGAGGGACAGGTTGCTCCGGACCTTTACCAGACTGCTGACTCGCCTACATGGAGTTCCAGGGCACCTATGGTAACTAGGTAAAGGTAAAGGGACCCCTGACCATTAGGTCTAGTCGTGGCCGACTCTGGGGTTGCGGCGCTCATCTCACTTTATTGACCGAGGGAGCCAGCGTACAGTTTCCAGGTCATGTGGCCAGCATGACTAAGCTGCTTCTGGCTAACCAGAGCAGTGCACAGAAACGCCGTTTACCTTCCCGCCGGAGCAGTACCTATTTATCTACTTGCACTTGACGTGCTTTCGAACTGCTAGGTTGGCAGGAGCAGGGACCAAGCTCACCCTGTTGTGGGAATTCGAACTGCCGACCTTCTGATTGGCACATCCTAGGCTCTGTGGTTTAACCCACAGCGCCACCCTCGTCCCATAACTAGGCTAGTGCTTAAAGACAAGGCTGTAAATGAGCCTCCTTCTTTAAAGGTCAGGCTGATGGTGACTTGTTACTTGGTTTATTTTCTGATGTAATGCTTACGGGACTCTCTTCCAAGGGAAACCAAGCAGACTCTGTCTCTGGGGAATTTTTAAATTAAAAATGGCCAACAGGCTTTTTTTCTGCCAGAAAGCAAGCTAATATGCTTCCATGTTTCTAGTTTACAAACTGTTTTATGGGCATCACCGTGTTGTTCTAAGGCAAGGATGGGGAACCTTTGCCTTGGCAGATGTTGCTGGACTACAGCTCCTATCACCCTTAACCTTTGGCAAAACTGGATGGGGCTGATGGGAGTTGGAGTCCATTGACATCTGGAGGGCCACATGTTCCCCGCACCCCTTCTAAGAATTAAAAAAACAAGCTATTGGTTACCTGTTTTGGGTTCTCATTTAATAATAATACTTCAAAAGTACATTGCATAGCACATGTGTCAAAGCTCAGTGGCAGAACTGCTGGTTTCCTTGCAAAAGGTCCCAGGTTGAATCTCCAGCATCTTCATCTAGCAATGCAAATGTTCCCCAACCCCAGAGAGACGATGCCTATTGTTATAGAACTAAAGTATCCAGCTTGCACCCACACTTTTCTGTTCGTCTGTGTTTAATTTTTCTGTGGTGGGTGCTGTTGTTTTGCCTGCTCTTTTTGCTGGCAGGGGGAGGCAGTTCTGAGGACCACATTCCCCCCTCCCCGTGGAATGCATGTTTTGTGGTGCCAGTGACATTTTCTTTAATTTCCCAATGTGCCCCCAGGCCCATGAAGGCTAAATTACACAGCAATGTGGTAAATGGACTAGGAGTCTGACTTGGTATAAGGCAGCTTCTTATGTTTGGGGAGAGCAGGAATAAACCCCGCCCCCCCGGCTGCCTCAGCTACAGGTAGGTGACCAAATATTCTAAAGGCCTGAATACACTTTGCATTCAAGACTCAGTTGTGTGTGATCATATTTACCTTGATTGTTTTGTAAAACATTAGGAGCTGAGGGGGACCAATCAGGTTGGGGGCTATGGTGTGTAGGATGATGTACTAATCTGCCCTGCAAGGTGAGCAAGGTGAACATTTTATTGTTCAGGGAAGGAGAGCCTCAGCTCCAGAATCTGAATGTGGCCCTGCAGGCCTTCAGTCTGGCCCTTGGGACATTCCCCAGCCCCACACGGCCTCTGATACTAGAGGTGGATCATAGCCACCATCTGTTCAGCCCAGCATCCTTTAATGCTTCCCCCTAGTCCACAGTTCTGCTGAACCCCTCTTCTCAAATGGCCAGGAGGCAGATTTCTTCCTGCTGCAAAAAGCAACATGGCTGGGGAGGGGGGGATAATCACTGGGACCATGAGGCAGGACTTTGGGGAGCAAAAGTCCATCATTTCTCTCAGCAATATGAGCAAAGTGGGGTGGGAGTTGGGGTGGGTGGAAAATAGGCAAAGACATCAGAATAAGTCTCCCCCCCCCCGTCTCATTTTGAAGTAAGTGAGCAGGATAGCACCTAAAGAGGAAGTTACCTAACCCCACCACTGATGCAGAGGAGTCCCTGCTCACATAGTATGGCACTAATTCTGATCATTGCCCCATTTTCTTTTTCTAAGCATACAGATTGGTCCTAAGCTATACCCGGGGAAAGTGATGACATTTCTTCCAGGTAGGGCCAGGCTGCCTTAAGCTAGAGGTGGAGAACCTGTGAGCCTTTAGATGTTGCTGGACCCCAGCTCCCATCAGCCAAAGCTACCAGGGCCAATGGCGAGGGATGATGGGAGATGTAGTCCAGCAACAACTGGAAGGCTGCAGGGTTCCTTGTTGCTTGCATAAGTGGACTAGGCAGCTGTTTGCCACAATTCAGGAGGCACCAGTCCTGTTGCAGTCAATGCACACTGAGAGAGATCCCCATGCTAAGTGGGAGGGAATTCTTTGGCATCTTTTGCAAAGTCAGAGGGGAATTGAGGGCTCCCTAATTTACCTAAGGCAGGAAAAAACCTGGGCCTGGCCAGCAGGCTCATTTGCTCAAGTAAGAATTGATGTCCCTTACAGGGCACCACCTCCAGCGCAGGCCATAAGCTCAGTCTCTCGGATTGACAACGAGCATCTTTGGCATTGCTTTCAAGCAGGCCATTAAAGTGGAAGAAGAAGGCGGAGGGGTGGAAAAGAAGAGAGACCCCAATGGGAGGGGCACATCTCTGGTAAAATGGACAGCCGTCTCTGTGCTATAGATCACACGGAGGCATCCCTCCCCGAAGAGATGCAAAATGGAAACCATTTACGAGAAAACTCTGCCTCGGATGATTTATGGCCCTCGGCTCTCTGGAGCCACGTCTCGGAGAAGGTCAGCACTGCAGTGTGGCTGGCGATTCCTCCCTGCCTTCCCCCCTCCTTCCCTTCCTCCCTCATCTTGTCTCTGAAAAAAAGAGTCAGTCAGGGGAAATGGGTCATCATACCCAGGCCAAACTGAAACGGGTTTAGCCCCTGAGCGTGTACTCAGTATTAAGGGTCAGTCCTCCTGGAGTAAGTGGGGAGATGATAAAGAACATGCCAGTTCCTCTGAGTATACAGAGAAGGGATGGATGAATGTGGTGGTTTGAATTTCTCTCAGGTTCTCGTTTTTCCTATCACCTCCACATCACTTTGAAGTTGTTGCTGTTTTAAATTCTACGTGAGATTTCCTAAGTATTTTGGTTTGTGTTTCTTTTTTTGGCAAACTATTTATTTTGCAAAACTAATGCAATCATGTATGGTGTTTTCATTGATATGTAAGCCTTTGCACACTATTCACCTATTTTACATGTTGTTGGTTTTTACCTATTCACACTTACTTTGCATGTTGTTGGTTTTTACATTGCAAAATTCAGAGAAATGCACACTGCCCCTGGCAGTAGCAGTGGAACGTACTCATGGCTATTAGCCATTGATATCCTCATGCATCCTTCTACATCCTACCCAAGGCCAGCCTATGCATGAGGCCAGGTGAGGTAATCATCTCAGGCAACAGGGTCCTGGTACTGATTTCTCCCCCCCCCCTTGTTCCTGATGTAGATCTTCACTTACCCCTTCTTCCCTGGTGGGGAGGGTGAGGGACATCATTTTGGGGTTTGCCTTGGGTGCCAAAATGTCTTGGGGCAGCCCTGATCCTTCCTCTGTCATGAAGCTTCCTAGAATTGTTTGTGAGAGGCAGAGCCATGTCTATTGAAGTGGTATAGGAGGGTCTTAGATGTATGCATATAGCTAAACTATGGAACTCACTCTCAAAGGAGGCAGTGGTGGCCACCAACTTTGAAAAGAGGATTAGGTGAATTCATGGAAGACACAACTATCAATGACTACTAAGCACAATGGCTATGTTGTACTTTCACAGCCATAGGCAGCAATGCTTTTGAAAACCAGTTGCTGGGAATCGCAGGTGGGCAGAGTGTTCCTGTGCTCATGTCCAGCTTGCTGGCTTCCCATGAGCATCTGAATGGTTGCTGTGAGAACAAGAGGCTGGATTAGATGTGCCACTGGCCTAATTCAGCAGGCTCGTTTTATGTCCTTCTGGTGTGGATGTGGCATAAGTTAGTTGAACTTGGGTCACACTGAAATCAGTGGGGCAACTTGATAATCACTTAACTCAAAGCCCCCATTGATTGCAATGCAAACTAAGTGCCACTAACAAAGTCTGCATCCATTCAACTTGCTAACAAAGTCTGTATCCATTCAACTTGCTCACGAACATAAGAACACCTGAGTAGTCATGCATAAGACTGTGTTGTAAGTCTTTCTAACCTGTCAGTCACACAAGAAAAAAAACGTTGTGTTTTCTCAAAGGAGTTTTTAGGGAAACAGTTGATTGCAGACTTGCTGATCCTCCTATTGCCTCTGTTTTTGAGATGGGAAACGTTGTTCCAGTAAGTGATGGGAGTCCTGTGGGGGCTCTGCAGAGCAGAAGAGGCACCGATGCAGAAAACGCACTGGTGTCACCGAGCAGGAGAACATGGCACAACTCATGAATCACAGGCCAGAATGCCGTTCCTCTTATTGAGATAAATGGGGCAGCAAGCCCTTGGGATTGCAGGACGTCACTTTCACTTAGGAACTTGGCGCCAAAGCTGGAGTCCAATGGACAGGAACCCATCACCCCTTGACCTAGGCAGAAGGGAGATTTGGAGACTGAAAGCAGCCGCTGAGGGTCACTGGCCACGTTGAGAAACTTCTGCAGGACAAATGTAGATGTGAGCGGATCATTCTTATAAAGGTAAAGGGACCCCTGACCATTAGGTCCAGTCGTGACCAACTCTGGGGTTGCGGCGCTCATCTCGCTTTACTGGCCGAGGGAGCCAGCGTACAGCTTCTGGGTCATGTGGCCAGCATGACTAAGCCCCTTCTGGCAAACCAGAACAGTGCATGGAAACGCCCTTTACCTTCCTGCCGTGGTACCTATTTATCTACTTGCACTTGGACATGCTTTCGAACTGCTAGGTTGGCAGGAGCAGGGACCAAAGAACAGGAGCTCACCCTGTCACGGTGATTGGAACCACCAACCTTCTGATCGGCAAGCCCTAAGCTCAGTGGTTTAACCCACAGCGCCACCCGTGTCCCCATCATTCTCATAGGCTGCCACTAATTCACTCACTTAATTGTACTTCGAATACGCACTCCACTGAGGCCACTTGCCGCAGACCCAGGAACCTGATCTAGTTACATCACAGGTGGGGGGACCTTTTACAACCCAGGGCCCACATTCCTTTCTGGGCAACCCCTCGAAGGGCCACACACCAGTGGTGGGTGGGACCAGAGGCAAAAGGGGCAGAGCAACGAATGCAAATTCTACGCTTGTACCACTGGCTAGTTTCTGCACACACAACATTTAACATTTCCCACAGTGCCCCAGAGTAATGGAAAGTGTGGTGCTGTGCAGCATTGTGGGAAGTTTAGAACCAAGGTTTCCCATCCATCTGGCAGTGCTGCCATATGGTGAGCAATGTGTTTGTTGGGGGGCACCAAACAGCACTTTGCTTGAGGTAAATTTATTGGTAGAACTTGAGTAATTTGGTCTTCCAGATCAATCCATGGGCATGGCACATTTCGCTGAGACTCGGTGTTCTCTGGCTGTAAAATAGGACTTTATGCTTAGGAAGGCAGCAACAACAACAGTTTTTCAACTTTCTTAATAGCCATTTGGGTCAGCTATGAACCCCAAAGCATAGGAGGATTAAGCAAACTTGCATACAAAAAGGTAGTTTTAGGGCACTGCAACCAATTCCTCTGCACTGGGCACCAAGCAGAGAGGGCATCCAGTAAGCACTTGCTACAGGAAGAAGGTGTGAGGGTTCTGACAAGAAGGTGTGGGGTTGTGGCGCTCATCTCGCTTTATTGGCCGAGGGAGCCGGTGTACAGCTTCCGGGTCATGTGGCTAGCATGACCAAGCCCCTTCCTGCCGGAGAGGTACCTATTTATCTACTTGCACTTTGACATGCTTTTGAACTGCTAGGTTGGCAGGAGCAGAGACCGAGCAACGGGAGCTCACCCCGTCGCGGGGATTTGAACCGCCGACCTTCTGATTGGCAAGTCCTAGGCTCTGTGGTTTAACCCACAGCGCCACCCGCGTCCCTATAGTACTATTACCTATCTTTTAAAAAACCACTGCGAGGTTTGTTTCGAAAGGTGTACAATTTTTATGAAATAAATAATAATAAATAATATTATATGCTATGTACTTAGGAAGCAGCCTAGAAGTGTAAATTAATTCACAATTCAGCACAAAATCAAAAATTCAAAGTGAGCATTGTGTTTAGAATCTTGTTAAGTTTCAAGGTGTTAAATTATTTTGTTTTCCGCCCCCCTTCCTGAAATGTGTAAATCCAACAGTATTTTGGGGAGGTAGGGTGGGGATCAAATTAGGAGAATGTGAATATTAAGTTTAGCAAGCAAATTTGATGTAGAAGAAGTTGCTGGGGGATTTTTACCCCTCCCTGAGTGCATTTCAGCTCAAGTTTCTGTTTACTTTTTTGGGCCACGCTCAGCTCACGTCTCTTTGGAGGTGATAGGAGAAGATTCCTTGAACATTTCAGCTGATGGCAGACTCTAATGAGGATATATGGCCAGCCACCAAGAACATGTATATTTAATGATCTCTGTTAAGGAAGTTTTAGAAGTGCTTTCCCCATAGACTCAATGATGGCTTCTTTGTTTATGTGCATAATCCACTTTTCCTGACACCACAAGTAACAAATTCTCAGTTCCCCAGTGCCACTGTTGGACAATCCTGGTGATGTGCTGATTGATTGACTTACTGATTGATTGTGCATTGGGCTATTGCCTACGGGGCATTTTGCAACTCACTCATGCCAAAAGAGAAAATGAATGGAAAACAAGAGAAATTGCGGAAGAATTTGGAGCAAACAGGAGGAAGGAAAGGTGTGGATGTGAGAGTATGTGTGGCCCTCCTTATGTTGTTGGACTCCCACCTCATAGGGCTCTTTCTGAGCAAGCTGACTGGGTTCGCTAGGTTTGCTCTCTGGGACTTCCACAGGAAAAATGGAGATGAAATCTATCCACTGCAGCCTATGGACTCCCAGAGAGAGTAAGATGAAGCAACATTGCCTTCTTGTTCTCCCTCTGGAAAGTTGTTTCCAGAAAGAATGGCTGGGGGCTTTTGGTTGGACAGTAGTGATAGGAGTTGGGCCCAATCAGACAGACCCAATGAGGGCAACTTGCCTCAGAGTCCACCAAAACCAGGAGCTGGTCCTGGAGTCTGTGAGACCTTGATCCCTGGAGAGATATTCAGGATTCTTTCTCTGAATTTGCCACTTGTCATTAAAAACAAACCTGTGGGTGCCATCCAGTGCTGGTCCTACTCACAGAAAGCCTGTTAAGTTAATACATATGGATAGCTTTGGTTTTCTTAATTTCAAAGGGTCTACATAGGACTCAGTTGGCCACAACCCCAATAAGTCTCACATCTTTTTACAATTGTTTGCGTTGTAGCCAGTTACTCAAGAAAAGGGTCAAACTGTGCTGACCTCCTCAGGGCTTGGAGAATGAGTACAAAGGCATTGGAATAACTGATGAGAACAAGCAACTTTAAAAAAACCCAACAACAGCATGCTATTTTATTAATATTGAAATCAACATACTGTGCAACTTGTATTTCAGATCTGACTAGATTGCATGACTCTATCTATACCTCTCTCACCCTTTTAGGTATAGATGAATCCAGTGATTTTTAAAAAGGAAAAGGGAAAGAAAGGTGCCAGTGTTCACTCTGAAGTTGTTATACTAAGTGCCACACTTTTAATCTTTGGGAAAATGGTGCAAGGACTGTGGACCCTTGCATACCTCCATAAAAAACAAAATACAGTGGAACCTTGGGTTGCAAACGTGATCCGTGCGGGAGGCACGTTCGCAACCAGCAGTGTTCGCAACCTGCAGCGCTGTGTCTGCGCACACGTGGATCGCGATTTGGCACTTCTGCGCATGCGCAAAGCGTGATTTAGTATTTCTGTGCATGCGCGAGCGCTGAAACCCAGAAGTAACCCGTTTTGGTACTTCCAGGTTCAGTGCGGTGTGCAACCCGAAAATGCATAATCTGAAGCATCTGTAACCCGAGGTACCACTGTAGATAAATCTGTTATTGATGGTATCTCTTAGTTTCTCATTTTCCAAATTTTAAGTTCAGCTCATATCTCTATCAACATTTTTTTAAATTTAGAAATGTACTCACAAAAGTTCATATTCATTAATTCATTTGCTGTTAATGCTAAATTTAAATCCTGTCCTGCCTTCTAAAGGGGCCCAGAGTGGGAAACACATCAGTGTGATAAAACATTACAATTTTTTAAAAAAATTATTAAATAAGCACGAGAGATAATTTAAAATAATTCCAGCACAAATGTGGGCTGGGAAAAAGGTCTTTACTTGAAGGGCTTGTTGAAAGAGTGAGGTCTTTAGAAGGTGTAGAAAGGACAATAGAGACTGCCCCTGTCTAATATTTAATGTGAGGGAATTTCAAATGGAACAATTTCCTGAGCATTTTTCCAAAAACAACTTTCATACATAATTTTGGTGAGCAACTTTGCATAAGAAAATACATGGTGTATATATGATTTTTTTTTAATGCGTATTTCCCCCTAACAGACATTTTTTTGCTTGGAGAACCGCACTGCAAAATTCATAAAAGTGTCACTTTCAAAGGATAGTTGTATTTTGGCTCATGTATAGTTTGGGGGAAGTATGAATTAGGTAATTTTAAATTAAAATGAGAAATGTAACTGGTAAACTTGTCCCAGGTTGCTAAGGGCTTTCTGTGCTAATGCCAACACCTTGAACCTGGCCAGTACAAATCTCGGAGCACAAGTGTTATATGCTGACAACGCCTCAGTCTTGTCAGCAGTTATTCTGCAGCTTTCTGCACTAACTGCAGCTTCTGGATCAAATGCAAGGGAATCCTCACATAGTGTGCATTGCAATAATCCAGCTATTGCCTTACCATGGGGTAAGGCAGTTTCTTATGTTCCTTAGAATTACAAAATTGTGGAGTTGGAAGGGACCACGAGGGTCATCTACGCCAACCCCCTGCAATGCTGAAATCGTTCACCTAATGTGGAGATCGAACCCACAACCCTGAGGTTAAGAGTCTTATGCTTTACCAACTGAGCCAGCTCAGCCTAAATGAAACAGGAAAATAAAAATCAAACAGAAGAAACCTTAGACATTCTACATGCAAAACATTTGTGCACAGCCACACTAAGCTGCAGCTCCTTCTCACTATGCACCAAATTTATTACTGCTTCTAGGACAGTAGTAAAAACAGCAGCCCTGAGCAAAGTTTTCTGTCTCCAGTTGCAAAGCCCTGGTTGAGAGGGATAAAGGGTGCAAGGAGTGTAGTCTCCCGAGAGAAGCTATATGTTCACCTCTCTGCTCTCTACTGCTGCTGCCAAGCCTGCTTTGGAAAGAGTCATGCCATTCGGCAGGCAGGGGAAGTTGCGCACTGAAGCTAATGGCACAGGGGAAAGCCATTAAAGGAGGAAGAGTTGAGGTTACAGAAAACTTTATTGCTGCCTATAGAGACATCAGGTCTGTGATTCCAGGATTAGTCAGTGCTTTAATGGCGAGCCACTGGCCCATTAATTGTGCCGGGAAGCCCATTTGGGGTTCTTCCAAAATGGAAAGGGGGGGAAAAGAGAGAAAGAGAAAGGGCTATCCTAACGCACATGCTTATTCCCCAGACCAAATGGCCTAACACTATAAGGCTACCAGACAGATCTCCAGGAGGAGGAAAAGCAGAGGTGGCTGAGGGACAGATTAAATCTTATAACAGATTGACAACCTGATTCTAATGTTCAGCGAAGATGGACTCTGCCTCAAAAATCAGGAGACACTGCTTTATACATTGAATCAAATCCATCTAGTTCTGGGTGGTCTATACTGCCTGGCAGCAGCTTTCCAGAGTTTCAGGCAAGGCTCTCCCAGTCCTACCTGGCACTTTTGGGGACTGAACCCAGGACCTTCTGCATGCAAAGCATATGCTGCCTCACTGAGTTGCAGCCCCTTCCAGCTACACCATTGTATTTAGATGGGCTCTGATATTTCTCCTATTCGCTGGCAAATGCAGCAATGCCAATATTATAATAATACCAGTAGGAAAACACACACACTAATATTGCAGTAATGACTGTCACAGCCAATCTCTGGCAACTAAGCTGCTCCCCTCTACCAGCTGTGATGATGCTGGCTGATTATGTGTCCGCATTAGCCATGCGCGGAAGGCACCCATCACTACACTGCATCATTGAGATTCCCATAATCACTTCATGGAAGCAACTCTCTTGTCCTTTCCTAACCACAATGCAAGAGGTGGGCTGTCAGAGATAGACAATAGTACCTCTTCTGTTATTGAGTCAGTAGAATTCCAAGGTGGTTGGGGAGCTTCCCCGACATTGGCATGTTGTATTTATTAAAACATTTGCATGCCCTTTCTGGGGTAGAAACACCACTCAAAGTTGGTTTACCACATTGCACATGGCATTAGGTTATATATATATAGAGGTAAAGGACCCCTGGATGGTTAAGTCCAGTCAAAGGCAACTGTGGGATGCGGTACTCATCTCACTTCAGGCTGAGGCAGCCAGTGTTTGTCTACAGACACACATGGCATTACAATTCCATAAAGCAACAGAAAACAATTAAAGAGAGAGAATAATTTTTTTAAAGGCTCTTCAACAACCAGCAAAATAACAGCAACAGAGAGTGGAGCAACTATGCTTCATTGAGCAAGGTGTTTAATAATCTGCAGGTAGCCACCAGTGGAGGATGGTCAGTTAGGGTGAAAGGGGCATTGTCCCACCAACCTCAGCTCTACCCCTTCCTCTGCCTACCTTCTTACTTACTATCAGTCCAGAGGGTGATGCTATCAGCCTTCTCCTCCTTAGGGTCAATGTGCGCCTCCCCAGACAGCCCACCCACCACCAGAGAAGTGAGGAGAAGTGGCTGCAGCAACGGGTTCTGGGTTCCAAAGAGATCCCATGGACCTCTCGTGAGAACTTGCTAAAACCCAGAACCCACTGCCCACAACCCTAGTAAGCAAGACTTGGGCAGGGTAGCAGCAGGTGGTGGCTACACCTTCCTGTTTTGCCTCAGGCAGTAAAGCAGGACAGGAAGCCCTGAACTACCTGTCCCAATGAGGACCAGCCACCAACAGCAGCCACTGAACACTGAGGAGGACCTCTCTCTCTCTCTCTCTCTCTCTCTCTCTCTCTCTTCTTGTCCCACCCAACTGGGCTTCCACTTTAAGCAGGACACATTCATTGCTCACCTCTGGCAGCATCTAGTACCAAACTGCTACCATAAAGCGCTTCCTTTACAAATGGACTCCCCACCTTTCATTTATTGGAGTATGACCGCACTTTAAAACCAGTCATTTCCTCTTCCACACTCAAACACTTGTTGCCACTCACTGCTGGTTTCTGACTTGAGAATGTAGACTTACAGTCCGGGCAGGTCTGTTTCCCTCCCCAACCCCAACACTTTTAATTCCAATCAATGCAGGTTAACTGAGAGCAGCTTATTTTTACTTCTGCTGGCCTCTTGTCGGCCAGAATCAATACCAGTCATTTCCACTTAAACCATTGTGCCTTTACTGGAATTGTGATCGCATCCTGCCTTCCAAACCAGCATATTGCTGTTGTCTTGCGTGTGTGGTTTCTTCTGCATTAAAGCTGAAACCAGGAGTCTTTTCATCCTTGCTACAAAAATCTCTCCTTGCATATGGAAATGTGCTTATTTAATTACCCTAAACTGGTAGATGGATTAAATAAAAAATGAACACAGAAGGTGGAGATGCAAGTGGGAGGGAGGGAGGGAGAAATCACCCTGAAAATATTCTACCCATTGATCTCTTTAGTTTTAACAGGACCCTAGAGAGGTTGTTGGTATTACTCCTTTCTACCACTAGATGGGGCAGCATGAGCAGTGAGTGACAATATCGAAAAACAGCAACCAGTTGAGTAAAAAAACCACATACTTCACAACCATGTCATAATCAAAGAAAGGAATCAGTTAGGGCACTTTCCCCTGTTCCAGAATGTTGATTATTCGCTGCTTGGCATGGGAGCTTGGTTGATGGCTAGATGCAATCTCTTCTTTGAGAGAACTGGGTTTGCTCTCTTGGGCTGCTTTGGGTCTTGAGTGCACTGGCTCTTGCAAGTTTGGTCAAAACGGCTCACAAACAGGACTGTCAATTGACTAAAGAGTGTGTGGGGTTGATTGCTCACCTGCCTTTTAACTGATTCATTGAACTGAAGTGACTAAATTTCATTATTTGCATTATTAACAAAACCTCAATGGAAGGTGCTTCTTTGGGACACTGAAAGAAGTATAGTCATGTTGCCGTTTAGTCGTTTAGTTGTGTCTGACTCTTCGTGATTCCATGGACCAGAGCACTCCAGGCACTCTCGTCTTCCACTGCCTCCCGCAGTTTGGTCAAACTCACGTTGGTAGCTTCGAGAACAGTGTCCAACCATCTCATCCTCTGTCGTCCCCTTCTCCTTGTGCCCTCAATCTTTCCCAACATCAGGGTCTTTTCCAGGGAGTCTTCTCTCCTCATGAGGTGGCCAAAGTATTGGAGTCTCAGCTTCAGGATCTGTCCTTCCAGTGAGCACTCAGGGTTGATTTCCTTAAGAATGGATAGGTTTGATCTTCTTTCAGTCCATGGGACTCTCAAGAGTCTCCTCCAGCACCATAATTCAAAAGCATCAATTCTTCGGCGATCAGCCTTCTTTATGGTCCAGCTCTCACTTCCATACATCACTGCTGGGAAAACCATAGCTTTAACTATACGGACCTTTTATGGTCCGGACCTTTTACAGTACAGTCATACCTCGGGTTATACCTTGGGTTAAATATGCTTCAGGTTGAGCGTTTTCAGGTTACGCTCCGCGGTGACCCAGAAGTAATGGAACACTTTACTTCTGGGTTTCGCCACTCGTGTAGGTGCAGGCACTCAAAATGACATCATGCGCAGAAGTGGCGAATCATGACCCGCACATGCGCAGACGCAGGTTGCGTTCTACTCAGGATGTGAACGGGGCTCTGGAACGGATCCCATTCGCATCCAGAGGTACCACTGTACAAGGACAACTTAAGTTAACAAGCAAAAGTTCCCACATGCCTGTAGAAGAAAAGGATGTCTTTCTCACTTCTTATTACAGCAATGCAAGAGAACCAAGAAATTATCAGGTTCAAACAAAGCTGCCCTTAGTTTCGACCTTGTCAGACTCAGCAGGAGGATGCAGATAGAACTAGAATTAGTTGGTCCTGCCTGCCATTAGCTATGGCTCCCCCTACTGTTGGCCTCCCTGCATTCTGCCCAACTATCCAAATGGGCACTAGGCACCATGGACCTTCACCAAGCCCACTGAGAAGAAGACTGATGGGTGGAGGTGGGAGAATCTGCCCCTTTTGTTTTCTCCCTATTTCTCATTTTCCCAAGCTTAAGTTCAGTTCTCCACACTCCTGTGTTAGTTTTCCTTTTTTTAAAAAAGTCCCCACACACAAAATAATGATAAGTGTACATTCATTTCTGTGCACCTTGGCCTAACAAACACATTTTTTTTGCAGGCATTTCTCCCTAATACGGTGTGTTTACATGTTATTTTTTTGAAAAAATATATGCACACTTTCCACTACTGTACACAGCTTTTTTTCCACCAAAAAAATCACACAAAACAGCAAACACTTGGAGGGTGAATCTTCAAGAATAACTTCATTTCAGGCTGCATGCTGTTTTGTAGAGTGTCAGGTAAGGTAAAGGGACCCCTGACCATTAGGTCCAGTCGTGACCGACTCTGGGGTTGCGGCGCTCAACTCGCTTTATTGGCGAAGGGAGCCGGCGTACAGCTTCCGGGTCATGGGGCCAGCATGACTAAACCGCTTCTGGCAAACCAGAGCAGCGCACGGAAACGCCGTTTACCTTCCCACCGGAGCGGTACCTATTTATCTACTTGCACTTTGATGTGCTTTCAAACTGCTAGGTTGGCAGGAGCAGGGACCGAGGAACGGGAGCTCACCCCGTTGCGGGGATTCGAACTGCCGACCTTCTGATCAGCAAGTCCTAGGCTCTGTGGTTTAACCCACAACACCACCCGCGTCCCTTAGAGTGTCAGGTAGGTTCCCTTT